GACACATTACTAGTATTGCAAAGCTAGTTAACCTCAAAGCAAATCTACTAGAGTAGTCTGTACCTATTTTACAGATTCACTAGCTTAGATAAGGATGTTACAGTCCATCACAGTTTGGTCTTAGTTCAAAAGACTAGGTCTGAGAACAGACTGTGAACCAGACCAAGGTTTGTGAACTGGTTTACTAAACCAGTTTTAGTTAAGTCTCAGTTAGGACCAGACTTTAAACTAGTTATATTTGACCAATAGAAATATGTAATTTAGATAATTATTTTACATTTTTTTATCGAAAAACTTTTGAAGCTAATCAATATGTATTTTATTTAAAAAACCTTAATATGGTTATTAAAGCTACTAAAGATCATTTCTATATTTTTAATACCTTTATATACCAGTTTAGAATAATCCGTTATTTTATTCAATTTTACCCACTCTATTACTAATCCAACTTTTAACGCAGAGACATACTCTTGCTGTCTTGGAATGAAGACGATTACAAGTTCTTGAAATAGTATTACTAGCTAGAGAAAAAGCTCATTTACATACAACACTAGTTGCTTGAATACTTAGATAGTCAGCTGCAATTTTTGAGAGAATAGGGTAAGCTTTTTTATTCGCCTTCCACTAATTCAGTAGGACCATATCTTCTTTAGCAGGTTCTGACATAATATAATGATCTAATTCACTAGTGCTTGTAGTCGATGATTTTTCAAGAGCAATATCATTTGCATTTACATAGTTAGGTTCTTCCATCTCTGACTTGTTTCACAAGTTCTAAAAAAACTTTCGGGCAGTTTTAATGGAGCTTTCTTTAGTATCATTAGAGATAGGTGAAGTTTGTTGATATTCGTATTGATTTATTAATTTTTGAACTGCACTCTTAACATTAACGATCACAATTTTGTTGAATATTTTCAATTTAGCATAAGGATCAAGAACAGCAGAGACAATTGAAGGTTTATCCATTATATTCCAATATTCCTCTATCTTTTGATATATTGGTGCAGCAACTATATTCTGAGAGTATTTTTCTTGCCCAATATACGAATCTAAAAATTCTGAATACTCAAAAACACTAAACGTATATCACTTATAGTCAGATATGATATTGCAGAGAGCAATTTTGTAGCAGCTTCGATCAGTTTTAACAAAGTATGTACATCCTAAAAATTGTTTTTATTTCTGTTAGTAAAATTTTTTATATTTTATATTTAAATTATTGCAAAATTGTTTATTTACTTTTAACTTTTGCTGTTCATCAGTACTCGGATATAGTGAATGAATTAATGGATAATCTGCAGCAAGTAAATTAAGGGTATTTTCTATTTTTTGCATTTTTTGTAACATATAATACGTGCTATTCCATCTCGTTTCTATATCTAACTCAGGTTTAAGGTATGTGATTATTTTAAGCTTGTATAATCTGCATAAATCATCACTGAAATGAATAGAAACTTTGATTTTCAACATTAAATTTTGTACTTTTTCTACAGAAGAATTGATCATTTCTAGTTCTTGTTTTGTAGTCAAGTTGAGTATGTGAGCTACACAGCGATAATATGAGAATCTAATATTGTCAAACTCACATTGTAGTTTTTGTACAATTAATCTTCTACAAACGATCATAGCAAATTCATTATCTGTTGTAAGTGCTAAAGTGTTATCTTTAATATTAAAATCAGAAAGAACGTTATTAATAGCATCTGCTATATTTATACCTGTATGTCTATCATTAAATAGAATAATATCTAAAAGAAAATAACACATTTTCTAATTAGTATTAACATAGTGAATTATTACATTAAGAAAAGCTTCGAAATTTTGGGAGGTCCACATATTAGCGGTTAAAGACACTTTTCTAGAAATTCTTACAATATCATTAACTAATTTATTTCGTCTATTTTCAAATTCATCTATTATCATTTTTTTAGTAGCTTGTCTCGTTGGTATTATGTATCAAGAATTAAGAAAATTAAGAAATTTATTAAAATATTAATTTTTAACAACAGTAAACAGTTGTTAATTTGCGATTATTCAGATAATTAATTTTTTATCTCTTCTTTTTTGATTATCATCATTATGCGAGTCAGTTCTAGAAAAATTAAGTGTAGCTTGACATCTTGCTAGTGCATTAATATTGTGCTCATTTAGATGTCTTCGTAAAGATGAAACTCCTGTCTTATCTGAAAAAACCTGATTGCATCATTTGCATACGAGTACTCTAGAATAAGTGAGTATAGTGAGGTCAAAATAAGGCCAGATTGTTGAACTTCTTCTGAGTCTTCTTCTTTGAACATAGTTATTTTGAGATAACAAACTAATATTTGTAATATTTGTTTCTTGAGAAACTTGACTATTTAGATTCGAAGCGCTGTCTTCTCTGAAAAAACTGTCAAGATCATTGTTTTTTATATCAAAAGGGTTACAGCTTTCAAAAAGATCATCAGTTTCTATTTTTTTTTTTTGTTTCATCAAATAGGACAAGTGGAGTTTTATATATTGTATCAATATATAACAATAAACGTTTTTTTTTTTTTTTATTTGGTATCAGAGGCTTTAAATCATTGAGATAAGTAAATTTTATTTTGGTTTTTCTTGATTTAGATATTGATCACGACTAATACATCAAAATTTTTTTCAATGATCTTATCAAAAGGATCTTTATTTATAGCACAAGATATTTTAACACAATCATTTTATAGCGGTCTTTTTTTTTATTTATAATTTCACAAGAAAGAAGTATCATAACACATTTTGAATTGGTTATATAGTACATGAAAATGTTGAGGTTACAATTTATAGTAGTTTTTTTTTCTCTGCTGAAATGACTTTTTAAAAGTTTTTTTTTGTAACATACTCAAAATTGTTCATAATAAATATGATAAGTGAAGACAGTATCAGGTTAGATGCTTGAATCAGGAATTTGGCTGTATCAAGCTAGGTGCTTGAATGGGGATTCGACTACATCAGACTAGTTGCTTGAATAAGGATTTGACTACATCAGACCAGATACTTGAATAGGGATTCGATTGTATCAGAGCAGATATTTGAATAGGGAATTCGACTTATAGATTATATAAAATATATAGATAGGTTAAGCAACAAGTTTTTTATTTAGAGCAAATCTCAAACAAATAATGTTTTTAAGTTTTTGAATTCCTTTTACGAAAAGTTAAAACTAAATTTTGAGATTTGCTATATGAAAATTAAAGCAGAAAGGTATTATGGCAATTAAATTAGTTATATCGAATAATGATAAGAATTCCAATCTCGAAAGTATCTTGTTTAAAATTGCTAAAACCTGTCTATACCAATTTTGAATAAATTAAAATAGAAAAATTACACAATCCAAGTTTAAATATCATTTTATTAGTTATAATGCGATTCATAAAAAAATAAATTGTTTTTTATATTGATCTATTTATACCACAATTGGTTAGTTGATAATTGTAAGATAAATTTTTAAACTATAGTAATTGACAAAATATAATTCTAGATATCAAATTTATGTATTATGCAAGGAATTTCTTTATATAGAATACTAGTGTAAGATTTAAATATCCTGTGCTTTATTTTAAAGTATCATGTATAACGTTTTCTGCATATTATATAATTTAGTAATTATCATTTTATTATAGAACTGACTGACTTAAACCGGTTTTAATTTGCAGACCCAGAACCACTCAGACCAGTTCAAAAAACTAGTTTGGATTATAGTTTTCGCAAAATCATAATATCCCTAAGCTTAGATCTTTGTAGATATTTGTATAATTCAGATTCTACTGTAGTCCTTCACTAGTTAATTAATCTAGTCTTTTTCTAGTATCTAGCTAGTTTTAATTACTCTTCACTCAGAGACTTCAAAACTTTTTATCTTTATTAGACTGAGTTTTCTTTCTAGATTAGACTTTAGCTAATATAGTTCTGTTAGAAGGCCATATTACTTCACTGACTCAAGATTTCTACTATGCAGATCCTCTGCTTATATATCCTATTAAAATTTATTTATATAATATTATACTATACTTCCAAGTTCTAATCAATTTGGTGCAACTCATTTTATAGGAGTATATTTTCAGAAATAAACAGGGTTTACAGTAATGTATCACAAGATCTGAGAAATTATTCAAATTTATTGACAGTAGAATTTAAATCTCAGACCTATTGCATAACAGTCTAACAACCTAATCACTATACTAGGTCACTGAATCTATCTATGTACTAAATACTAAAATCTATAAAATAAATAAAATAAACAATTAATATTAGTATACAATACTCTTTTTATAGATCATTTGATTATAAAATGATCTAAAGGTTATTATATAAAAAAATATCAAACTTACAGAATAGCTTTAGACATAACTTTGAACATTTTTAAATATTTTTAAACAAAAATATAAATTAAAATTACTCACAAATTTATTAAGATAATATATATACTTTTCTAAGTTAAAAATATTCAGAATCTAAAAATATATATAATTATCTATTTTTTAGACAAATTTATTAATTATTAAAACTTGGATATGCTTTAAATACTCTTAGATACTTGGATATTTAGATATTAGACATAGTCTAAAAAAGTCTTGAACATAATAGATATAACAATACTGCCTTTTAGTATACTAAAAAAAAGATTCAAAAAAAAAAAAAATTATATATAGAAAAGCAGAAAAGTAAAAAAACTCTAATCTAAAAAAAAAATCTAGAAGAAGTTTAGACAAAATTTGCTATGAAAAAAATTTTTTGTTAACTAAAACTAAAATTTCAAAATACTCTATATTGTAGATTAGTATATATAATACAAATATATGCAAAGCAGATAGATAAATAAATAAATATATTACTAAATTAAATATTATATATTAAAGAGCAAAGATAAATTATACAAGACTAAAACTAGATAGTTTACAGGCAATCTGAATAAATCTACAAGAAATTTTTAATAAAGATAATATCACTTTTTACTAGTTCAAATTTACAAAAACAGTGCTAAATCAGTAAATATTCAGTATACTATTCAGTAACTATTTAGCAAACATTTAGTAAATATTAGATGCTATTTGATACTATTACTGCTAATCAGTATTCACAAATACTAAGTGGTAGTGATTGTACTAAACAGTATCTGAATATTTACTGAATGTTTGCTAAATAGTTACTGAATAGTATACTAAATATTTACTGATTTATTACTGTTTTTGCAAATTTTAACTAGTATTTAGAAATAATATTTAGAGAAATAAATTAAGAAGAGTAAATAATAGACAAAGCAGATAGTATAGATAGAGTAAACAATTGTAATTCAAAATAAGTAGATATATAGAATAGAGAGAAAGTAATTAGACTAGTAGAAGTAGTAACTAAAAAATACAGTAAAGAAATAATAACAGAAAGTAGTAGATTAGTAATAAGTCTAGAAGATTATATAAATAAAATAATAGTGAAATAAATAGTGATATAGTAACAGTAGCTAGAGAATAGAGGAAAGTAATAGAAAGAGTAGCAATAACAGAAGAAATTAACAAAGTAAAGAGCAAGAAATCAAATATATAGTAGTAGTAAACAATAAATTAAAATTACAAAAAAGCAAATCAGATATAGAAATAGTATACTAATCAGATAAAAGTAGTATAATTAGTAATATAATAAGTTCAAAAATAAAAGTAAAAGACAATTAACTAGAAAAATTGAAAAAGAGTTGAGTTAAATAGAAAAAGTTTAAGAAACTGAAGAGAAAGAAAGTAATACAATAAATTTAAAATATCAATATATTATTATAGAAAAGTCAAAAAATGATTTACTTCTTGTAGACTTAGACTTATCACTAGAAAGAAGTATTTGAGTACTAAACAAGAATAGATATAAAGAAAAAGAAATATTAAGAGCTAAAATAGTAGCTATTAAAGTTTTTAGAAATAATAAAAAATATAGTGAAAGGTCATTAAGATAGTCAATAGAAAGAAATGTTTATTTAAAAGAAATTACAAAAAAGTTTAAACATAGAATCTTTGATATATAGTAATTTTTGACTATATTAAAAGCTATGAAAAGATAAAGAAAAAGCTAGAAAATAAGAAAGAAGAATATAAACAAGCTAATTTATTTCTAGAGAAAGATAAGGAACAAGAAGAATTTAATGAAATAGTAAGAAACTAAGATAGACACTATTCAAAAGAGAAGAAAATCTCTATTTAGGAAAAGTAGCAAGAAAAACAAAAAAACATATGATATTAGAATATTAAAAGAATACTAGTTAAGTATTAGAAGCAGATACTTTTTATAAGTATAACTAATATGATACAAGAAGTTTTAATAACAATGAGTGTTTAATTAGTTTTTTTTTTTATATCTTGAGCGATCTTGCCCGTCATTTATTAAGAGAAAGCTTACAATAAGCATAAAACAATCTAATATATAAAACTATACTAATCTGTTCTCTCTAGACTAATCAGAACTAACTCAGCTGCCTCGAGAGTGCCCAAGTTCGATCTGCCGCAGGAGCCATTTTCTCATGAAAACTTTAGTCTGTATATACAGACACCCAGAATTCGATTAACAAAGGCAACTCCCAGCCATATATCAAGATCCTAGGTCCCTCTCTACCTAGTCGGAACTAAGTAAAGAGAAGTTA